TCTTCCAATAGCTATCCAAGCAATAGGTGGCCAGTTGCAGAAAATCCTCCCAGGCCACCTAGATAGCCATGCCTCATTCTTCTTCTGTTCAATCAAGGGACTTTGGTAATTTGCCTTCTCAAAAAATGCAGAAGCCTTTACAGTGAAGCAATTCAAACCAGTAGTATTGAAGCTTTAAACAATAAAGACTCCTTTATATTTTTAAACCTTCATAAACAAAGGCCATCAGCAGGTGCTGTTTGTATTAAAACCAAGCAAAAAAACCCCATAGCCCCAGCCCATGGGCACTACAGTAGGGCAGGAAACAAAGTGTCCAACAATGTGCTTTTCACTACTTTTTCTAAGGAAAAAAAAAAAGTATATTTATTGGAAAGTGAGATTTCATTATGTTTATGAAGAGAAACAAAGAACCACACTTTGGGTCTCTCCCAGAAAAGGAAAATTTAAGAAAGAACCATGGGGCATACTCTTTAATAATAACAACAGTAATACAATCTTTTTGAAACACCATGTTTAAAAAGACAGTGCATTACCATTGTAATTAGCTCACTTTATAAATGAAAATAAGATTTATGGCTATGGCAGAACTTGTTCCAATACAATACAATGTAAAGTTCTTAAGTACAAAGCTTACTGCATGGCTATTTATTCTTTCAGTTGGGGTCCCTGTTCTCTTAGATCCCACCCACCTCACTGTTAAATCCAAGTTAATGATAGCTAAGTGGAAACACCAACCAGGGTTAGCACTGTCTGAAATACAGAAATCTGAAAAGCATTATTTTCATCTGAAAAAGAAATCTCATTCAAGTATATTTTCAATGAGTTGTAACTAGCTCTCTATAATAATGCTTTTAATTAAACTGTTACTCTAAATTTCAAACTTTCTTTTACCTCTTCTTCTCATACCCTCCCCTATAAAAGTGATCTGGATTAAATGTTTATAAAAGTATTTGAAATTAATTTAATCTGCTAAACCATTAGAAACTCTATTTCTGCCACACTTTCAGAAATGGTTTTTAGTCCCTTCTCATTGAAGTCTTTGGGCATTGGAGTTGTAGCACTGCCCTACCCTACTGAAACCAGTGGCAGGAACTGCATGCATAGCCATGCTTTCAACACATTTGGGTTAGATTTCTAAACATTAAATATGCAACAGAAAGATTATGGAATATCTTTAAGTGAAGATACATGTCAGCCTTTATCATGGCACATTGGCCACTTCTGATGTCAAAGCTGTGCCTGACCAATCACATTTCTTTTTATAATCCATTATGTGGGTGCACACCACATACAGATGCACAGAACAGGACACACGTACTGGGTACTGCCATCAGAGAAGACAGGGAGAAGCTACAGCTCTAAGCTGGCCAGAGCATGCTCTGCATTTTGACTTCTGACATTTTCCTGATTTTTTTTTTCCCCAGATGAAAACAAAACTGGCTAAAGCAACAAGTTCAGTCAAAACCAGATGCTTTCTTTAGAAACTTAAGTCACAAAAGGTCAGGCCTTACTTGCCCTTCTTTCTGAATGTCAAAAAGGCAGGCAGATGGTCACAAGACCTTAGTTTTACAAACCTGGTTGCTCTCTGGGGCAGGCTGCTCTCCCTATCACAAGGTCTAGTTAGTGCAGGGTACAGCTCCTGACTTGCCTTCCTCAGGTGACTGGAGCTAACTGGGGGAAGGCATTTGACAGAACGATTTTGAGAGGACAGCTGTCTGCAGACAACTTCTGAGCTCTCAGTGATGATAGCACTTCCACAGGTGAAAGCAGTTGACAGAAATTCAAAAAGGCAAAAAGAATCACAGGATGGAAGGATTTCTAGAAGAAAATGGAGTGTCCTGTAGCTCACTTTTAGAAAACAAGAGTTCATTGAATCACTGTATCAAGGTCAGCTGCCTAACTTTCCTTGCCTAAAGCAACAGCAGAGAAAAGTATACCAGATGCCTAACAGGCACCTCCTGTAGGCAGAAAGAAAAACACCCTTGGGGCATTTTCTTTCAGGTGTTCCTTTAAGCTTTCCTGTAATCTTGTTTTATGTAAAGTCTTTAAATGAAAGCTCTTTTAACTCACACTACAAATCACATAAATTAAATGTCCTGTGCTTCAAGGGTTAACTAATATTAAAAGAGTGCAGCACCTGATCCAAATGGCCTTTTTTTTAATACCCCTGTCAGAAATTCAAAGCCAAATTGTGCAAGTACCAAACCCAGCCTAGGCATTCAGTGGGAGTTGCATTAAAAAGACAACTCCAAACAAGCTGTCCACTTATCAAGAGAGGTAGGGATGGGCTCTTAACCAAAACTACACATCCACAATCACAGAATTTGTTGATGACTCTGTATTATTCTACATTCTGGTGCCTATTTCTGCCTTCATTACAAAATGACACTGAATTACCAGAAACTTTTAGCAATGAGTTAAAATCTTGATTTTGCAACCCACTTTTCCCTACATAAAACTAGAAGCAAAGCCAGAAGGAGCACCAAGCCAAAATATTCTTTCAACAATAACACATAGCTAACTTGCAGGTATAAGTATTCAGGAATTACAAATCAAATCCAGATCACTGGATCTGTCCCTGAAGCATCACTCTGAGGACAGACTTACTAAGATTAAGGTCCTATTTCAACATAACTTAGTGGGAAGATTCTACAAGATAAAGAAAATCTTTTTTCTTATACATATTTTTGGCATTTGATTCAGCTCAAAGGCAGTTGTTTTCATCCACAGTCTGTCTTTGAAGCTGCTACATTCACAAAATAGCTGAAATTAACCAAAATAAATACTTCAATTTACTTGTTGCAAGAGAAACATGAACACACATCTATTCTTGAGATGTTTTGTGAACTGCTTCCTCAAACCTGGAGGGAGGAACATTGCACCCTCAGCAGCAATTAAGTTCAAACATTTGTGAATCTGGGCTCTAAATCAAAGCTAAGCATGAACGCTCTGCCCAAGGTATTCATTAAAGACTATGTGCCAAACTAATGCTGCTCTCCAAAAACATCCTCATAAATTTCCCTACTGTAATTTTGAGAGAATATAAGTTAAGCTTTCCAACATGGAGTAGTTTCCATATAGTGGAAATACTTAACCAAGTGGGATTTCACATGACCTATCTGAAACATGTAACTCTAAAGAATTGCTCCTCCTTGCTCACCAGGGCTGCTCTCCAGCTGACAATTGTTCACAGTCACTTCCTCTAAAATCTCACCTACATACTACATTTTACCATTGCCATGGATAGCACAGCTGCAAAGATTTGCATGTTATGCTTTGGGTTACTATCTACCCTATGTTACTAAGTGGATACAAATCCTTACCCATTTTCTGACATCAGTTAACATTCCTGTTGCTGCAAAGGGGATATACAGTTCTCCTTCATTATAATAAGAAACCTGCCTGGCCATCCAACATAAGCTCTCCGAGACTTCCAACCTGAAGACAACAGAAAGATTTCTACATGTAAGACAGAAGGAAATCTGCAGCATGAGTAAAAACTTGGATCAACAGTTATATAACCAATACCTTTGTGCAATCTAGACTTGGGTAAATAAGTCAAGCATAGCATTAGAGAAATTTACAGAAAGGAAAATCACTAAGCAGGACGAGAGTTGAAAGCAAGAACTAAATGCAGTTTAAAATAGCTGAAGATCACTCATTTACATATTTCTTGTCTCTAAATGCAGATATTTCAGGCACAAGGGTCAAACATGGTTTTTAAGACATTAATCTTTGGCTTGATGCTGTATTTAGTATGATCATGGCTGATTTTTATGTTCTTTCTTGATGCAAGGCAAAGGTCTTTGGAACTTCATGTAAAAAGTTACTGCTCACATAAACGCAAAGCAATCTAAAGCTAACAGTACTTTCACCCTTTTTGAAAGTACCTGCTAAAGTTGGTAGCTGTGACTGAAAAAGGCAAGAAACTCAGGTATATATTGGGAAAAAAAAAAGAAAAAAGTCTTATTGTCACTAAGCCTTTAACAGTTTGAGGATTTTTTTTTAAGTTTCATTTCCCAAAATACAATATCATAAACCAATAAGAGCAACAGAGTTTCTGGAATTTACACTGAAATATGCCTTCTACTCCTTCTGTACAGATGCAAACAACCAGAATGCCTTATGTTGAAATGGCCTGCTATACAAGCACAATGAAATTAGATGCAAAAAGCTTCTCAACAATAACATTAATTTTGCACAGTTATTCTTAATATATACTATAAAAATACAGGAAAAAAAAAGAATAGAAATTCTGAATTCGTAGTTTATAACTTGACAGTTACAAACCATGGGCTACATATGAAAACAGGCTGTCCCTCTTGATGGATCAATGACAGGAGGTATGTTAATATAGCAATAAGCCATCAATACAGTACACATAAGCTTTATACACAGAGCCTGGACAGGGTGGCAGAGGAGAACAAAGGCAGGACTGTCTTCAGTCCAGAGAAATGCATCACTTACTGCTTACTGTACACTCTGGTATGAGGCTCTGACACTGAACTCATTGCTTATCTTAAGAATTCGTCTGACAGTATCTTCCAACTATGAAAGACATTTTTGAAGGGAGGAAATTATAAACCAACATCTTTTCCACTGGTCTGAGAGAAGAGGCTTTAGGAACATACCAGGAATCCCTTATCAGCATCCCTGTTCCCTTGCATGTTTCAAAATTCTCTGAATAATTTGGAACCTATTTTTCATCTCAGTCAAAATATAATCCAGCAGATGCCACAACAGAAATTCTGAGATCATGATGCCTTGGCACTCTGCAGAATGACTTCTCTCTCTCCAAAATGAATGCAAGACCTTATCAGTCTGCCAGGGTAGAACAACACCAGATGATATTGCCACCTGCACTCTCTTGCTCAGTGCTCCAGATGTTGAAGGCCATTACTGTAGCTGCATAATATTTGTTTTCAGTAGTGGGCTCAGTGCAAAAAAGCCTCTGCACAAAGCCTTTCTATATACACATGCAAAAAAATATGATGCATTCATACTGTTTAATAAACTTTTGTTTTATTTAAGCTCTTTCAAAGTTAGGCCATGTAAGCTGCATGTAAAATTCACCAGCTGCTACAAAGGCATTCCAGATTTCCATTTCCCCAGACACTGGGAGACAGGCACAAAAGAATACAACTCTCCATATATACAGGTTGAATATTGTCCTCATCCACGTATGACATCCAGCCCCAAAACAGCTCCAAACAGTCTGTCAGTGGGGAAAACGACCCTTCTCTATGTTAATAAAAGATTAACTCTCTCTCACTGTGAGTCATAGCACTCCTCCAAGCCGGCCTCATGCTAGAGGGAATCTTCATCTGTATCAATATCACTGTTTGGTTTGTTCAGCCTCTCAAATTCTTCTCCATCCTACAGGAACCAGAAGCAAAAGAGAACAATGTGAGCAAAAGTAAAAAAAAAAAAAAAAGTAAGGTTTATTCCAAATGTATCACTTAAAGCAAAATCAAGACTCTATAATTTAAACCTCTTACCAGTGTGTTATAAGGTTTAGGAAATACATACTCATAAAAAACATTCCCTGCATTTTTAACACTTTTTAGTGACTCACTGCCTAAAACAGCTTGTAGTCCATTCTTCCATAAAATCATAAAATGTTTTGGGTTGGAAGGTACTGGAAGGATGCTAGGTCTCCCTGGAGCCTTCTCTTTTCCAGGATGAATATTCCCAACTCTCTCAGCCTGTCTTCATAGGAGAGGTGCTCCAGCCCTCTGATCATCTTCCCCTGGACTTGCTCCAGCAGATCTAAGTCCCCAGAGCTGGACATAGTACCACAGGTAGGGGCAGAATCACCTACCTTGACCTGTTGGCCATGCTGCTTTTGATGCAGCCCAAGATATAGCTGGCTTTGCATGCTCACATAGTGCTATTCGTTTCTACAACAGCTGCTTAGTTGTAAGTGCTAAAATAGATGACACCTGGCATACCAAAACTATATGAATTTGTGTTATTTATTGCTCATTAAACAACCTAAAAAGGTACCACGTGGAAATTTCTCAAAAACATCTCCAAGTTCAATGTTTGCTGGAACGCAGTGGGGACAGCGCTCTCTGCTGGTTCCAATGTGCATCCACGGCCCGTCCGTACCCGCGGGCTGACTCAAACAAACATGAACTCTTCCCATAAGTCGACTGTTCAGCTCAGCTGAATGACAGCTCTAAGAGCAAGCCATCCCAGACACCTTCTAAGTAACTAGATCACCGCTCAAATAAAAACAAAAAACACTAGCAGGCCTGGAGGAAATATACAGCAAGAAAAAAAACCCAAACCATGTTAAAACTCTGTGTTTAAACACTGCCTTTTTTATCTTCAGCTATCTTTGACTGCTGTGGTAGAAAGAACCTTAACATCAAGTGTGTTGACATCCTTATTATGTGGCCTAAGCTACACAGACTTACCAGCTCTACTTAGGTAAAGTTACTTCGCAGGCATCAATTCCAATTTCTGAAGGTTCTGGGTAAGTAAACTCTCTTGGTTATAAAGCTTTCAAGAAAAGTTTTGTACAAAGCTGAAGTTGCTCACAGGACTGCCTACAGTCACAGCAGGAAAGCAATGCTTACTTAGGCTTCATGATTTCAAAAAGTGGCATATGGAAAGCAATACCCAAGATTTTCAGAACTTTGGTTTTGAGGGATGCCAGTCACACACAAGTTGATTCTTCCAAGCATAAAGGGAGGTGAAACAAGAAAAAACCAAAGGAGACAAGTACTGAAAAGCCTTACCCCACTTGACCTCTCCCATGCATCTCCTTTGATGAGTTTTCCCCTTTCCCGCAGAGTGGCATATTCCAGGCCTCTTGCTTTACTGGCATTATAAATGAATATGGAGAGAAGCACGACAGGAGCTTCCAAAAAGAACTCTAGAGAAGGCCTGAAGTCAAAGATGACGAAAGACACAGTGGTGATGATAACAGTGTTGATCTGAGCAGTCATAACATGGAACATGTTGTCTCGGAACTTCAAGATGAAGGCTACAGACAGCCCCAGAAAAGCTGTGACAAATATAAGAGCCACGGAGAAGATGTTGTGCCCATAAAAGAAGCCACAGTTCCCTATCTGCCTCCGGTCCTTAGCCTGCAGCGCCAGCATGAGCCCATTGAACAGCACCCCAAAGGCATATAGTTTGCTGTTTTGTGTGAAGATGCTTTCCCCAAGCTGATCCACATCTTTCAGCATCTTTTCATTGTAGATGTTAGCCAGGGCAGACACAAAACACTGCACTAGAATAAGCAGATGGCCCAGACTGAGGCGGAGAGGCTTCAATGCTCCTGCCATGGTAGTGGTCACATTCCACTGGAAGCTGTGAAGGAAACTCGGTGCTGCGCAGTTGCCCTTTTCCACGCATGCTTCCTCAGGTCCAGTAGCGAGAAGGCAGTGGTTAGATGGCCTAAAAAACATATTGTGATGAAATCCATGTGCAGCCAAGCTGTGCTGATGGCCTCCACTTCCTCGAGTCAGGGCAACGATGGACAGGAATAAGATCACCAGAGACGCCCACTGTACCCAAGAGAGTCTTCGCCTGGTACACAAAAAAGCCACTAAATTTAGAAACACAGTGTCATCAATTAAATGACAGAACATCCAGATCTATAAAACATATAAAAGACATCATGCCACAGATAAGGAGACAGACAGGTGCAAAGAAAAGTCTTTCAGAGCACAGTAAAACAACCAACCAACAATGCCAAAATGCAACACACTTTGCTAGGGCAAAGAGGGCTGAGTCTGGCAATCAGAGAAGTACAAGGTGAAGTATTCTGAAGAAATAAGGCAAAGGAAGGCCTTTCAAGATCACATTACTTCTAGATACTGATTGCTTAACAACTTAAAAGCAAGTCTTGTCTCCATGGGAACAAGGGTCTGATGAATAAAGTAAAAAATCACAGACATCCAGATAATTACCATCTTTTTTTGAAAAGCATTCACTACACTGCTCTTCTCCCCCATGATGGGGAGCCCTTTTCTAGTATTTTATGATGGTAACACTTAAAAATCTATAAATGTAATTCATAAGAATATTATAATTATTTACAAATAATTCAAACACTCAAACAAAGCCTGCTTTTTACCTTGGTGAAAATAAAAAATTTGGAAGATTAAGTGAACTGTGACATCACAAGAGACACAAAAGTAAAATGAGAAAAAGCATTTTGAGTCAGACTATCAGGCATGGTTTTGGCATATTAACACCTACAGGAAAGGCTTATTTGTGCCACATTCAACACAGACAACTTTCACAGTGTAAAGTTAGTACCCATTTCCCTGACAGTCTTGTTTGATTCTAAACCATACTATAAAGAGCACAAATTCAGCAAAGCGGAACACATAGTCTGGTTTTTGTCACATGAGTAATGAGCCAAACACACCTCTGTCTTTCACCATTTCCTCTTACTAGAACATGATTACACTCAATTAAGAACTGCAACAGACCGCTAAGAAGTACCGGCAATCATGAAATAAGATATTTAATGTATAAATGAAAGCTTTCTTCTTACCATTCAATGATTATATAATCATGATTTCATCTGTTTTCTACTAGAGTGGACCAAATGTGTAGACATATGAAGGTACTCCTAATAACATATTTCCTACACCTTCAGATGTAGAAAACAAAACCACCTCTCCAGGATGGTATAGCCAGCCGCAAGAAAAGAGAATTATTGTTCCCATCAGACAAAGAGAGAAAACGTAGCTTAATTTCATCAAAGCTAGGAAGATTTAAATTTCATTTACTTTAGCAAACACTACTTACTTTAGCACTATCCTGAAGAGAAGAGCTGTTGTTATAATGACAAAATTTGAGAACAGTACAGCCATTGCCTTGAAAGAAAAGGAGAAGAACAAAATTATACTCCAGACACACTGTGGAGACCAAAAACCTACAGACTTCAAGTGTTCATCTTCTTGCAAGGTGCCACAGTGAAAAGTACTGGTACTGAATCTTCTTCCTTACCCAAATGGTACAATAACACACCTGTAAAATGATACTCAAATCTCATTTCAAAATCTCAGGGAAACCACAGAGCCCAAGCTCCACTGCAGTGGGGAAAGCTATACTGAAATGAAGATGTGAGGAAATCAATGCAACAGAAAACTTACTTAACAGAGAACAGTTTAGTATTCAGTCAGTTCAGGTCCCCAGCTGGGCTGACCAGTCAGCTGCAAATACAGCTGTGTCGGCACAAAGGAGGAAGTTGCTACAAAATGAGAATAAGCAAAGAATAAAGGAAGGTGAGGCTGCTCCTGGCTGCAGTGCCATTTGCAGTGTTCATGAAATTCCAGATTTGGACAAGGCACTTGCAGAAAACAAACTTCTTGTATGTGCTTTTGCTGTAGAGTTTATCAAAGATAAAGAGGCGCTTGGCTTGAGTTTTCAAGACTGCAACTGTAATTAAAAAAAAAAATAAATCTATTTCAAAGTACAACAGAAGATAACTCTAAAGCTTCTGTTTAATTTGGGAATAACTATATAATAACATCAATGTCTCTAATCCATGACCATGATCCCAAGCTGTAAACTCCTTGTGGCAAGGATTTTCTGTTTTGTCTCTGTATTAGACACTCTATACTGGGACACTGGATCAAGAAGAGGCTCTTTTAGGCACTCTAGTTACCAGTAAAGATCAGAATTCTACCAGCACCAGTAGGAAAAAAAAAATCCCTTTTTGAGGGTGGGGGTGTTTTGCAAACTGTCTGTTATTCCAGACAGCCCTGTATAGTCAGTACATGTACAAAAGATCCAGGCATCTAAAGTTTTTGGTCCAATTGAGCCTCAGAGTGAGCTCACCTTTTTAGACAATTTTATACAAAAGCACATATGGATTCAGGAGTACAAAACATAGACTTTTTCTTGAATTTTCTCATAATTTCCACATTCCAAATTCTGCTATGGAGTGTCTTTTTAATTCACCAGAGGAAAAGCACAGACTCTTTTCTCATTATCTTCATTCCTCTTTATCCCAACATACTATCTGCTGAACAGTAACTCTAATGGAACAGCACAACACAGGCTCTCAAGTAAGCTGAAGGCTTACTTACAATGAGACACCTGCCCAAGAAAACACATCTTAATTTTCCACTTTGCAAAATTAAAACTCAGTAAATATTCATGTTAGGTGAACACTGTGGAAGGAGAAAAATTTTGAATAAACAAGGAAATCTGACAGAACGAAGTCTGGAAAAAAAGAGCTTTTATGCAAAATGTAGAAGTATTCCATGCACACTCTGGTTTTACTTTACAGTCAATGCCCTCCATCCAACATCTCTGGTAACACTATGAGCAAAATCTTCAGAAGGATAGTTTAAAAAATTAATTTTGAGTCACCTGTTCTCTGAAAGCTCAAGAGACATCTGTCTTAGATAAATACGAATATCAAAGTTTGTATCAAAATGATACGAATATCAAAGTTCCCCATGCCACTAATCTGCATGTCACAAGCAAAGTCTCAAAAAGTAAGTCCTTAGGAAATTTAGCCACTAAAAAGTAGCCTCAGTTATAGCTGAAGTTTCAAGCAAAAAAATCTCACCAAAGCAACTCTTTAATTCCTCCAACTGCTCACGCAGGTACTAAAGTCCCAAAACTACTTTGTACTTAAAGTCACAAGACCAAGTTCAGTCAGGTATGGCCATCTTCCTTTCAAGCATCTTCACATTTTACAGTCATGGTCTTGTACACTACCAAGGTATTCTACCTTAGAGATATTTATCTTAGAGACAGTTATCTCTTTTAATAATAATTCTTTATCATAGTACTGTTACAGTTTCAGCTAACCATCATATAATTTCTCTAATTAAAACATGCTAGAAGTTCTAAAAGGAAGAATCTTAGAGCACATGTTCTGATGGGAGAGAGACAAGGTATGTCTGAGTGTGTGTGTATGTAAAACAAAAGTTGTGCATATTACAGAGGATTACCTCAACTGAACCAAAATAAATTCTTTAAGAGAAAAATAGCATTTATGTAACTTCCTACCCATCAAGCTTTGCTTCTACAAATACTATAGCTGAATTTCCTTCCTAAAACTAAAAACTACAACAAACCAAAACAACCCACAAAAAAATATCAAAAAAACAAACCCAACACCAACCAACCAAAAATCACCCCCACCAAAATCCCATCAACAAACAAAACCCCATACAACAAACCACAGAACCAAGCAGCTGTGTATGTTATTTTAAGATTTTTGACTCTTGATTTTATAAGGTTTTTTCAGCTGAGTCCTGTTCTAGACTCTGGACTGGTCTGTCCCTGGCAGAAATATACACCTAATAGAACAATATCTAAAGAGAAATTCTCAGAAAACGTAGAAAAACATTTATTTTTAATGTTCAACAATACATTCACAGTATTTTATGGTAAGTGCAAACCATCTGTTTCCATCTTACTGCAAACATAGATTCCAAAAAGTATCATGATACAAAAATAAATGCAAGCACAAAACCTGTACAATCTCCTGAGCATATGCAGGTTCATCCAAAAGGATGAGGATAGCTAGAAGAAAGTATCAACTAAATTTTGTACCTAAACATAGGTAACAAACACAAAAATTAAGCCAGTTTTCTTCATTCCCTCCTCAGTTTCTGTTACACTCATTCCCTTTGTGAGATTATGTTTACTTGCTTTATGTCAGATACACGGAGTGGTAAAAGCCCCACAGAAAAGTGCAGCTCAAATATTAGCAAGAGAAACAAATGGATTGAAAGAGAAATACAGAGTGGAAGAAGGCAAAGGAGGAAAAGTACCTAAAACCCTCTGACTTCTTAAGCATTTCACTCTACTTCTAAATCACTTTGGATGGAGAAAATATAAAGACTCTTCTCTGATGAAAGCTGTACAAAACTGACCAGTGAGTAAGAGAATGGGAAGGTAACAGGTTATTCTTTCACCTGCCAGTGTTAAAACAGCAGACAGCATCAGTTACAATCCTGCCTCACCAGTGTTACCACAGTAGATAGCCTAAGAGCAGGATTACCCACTAACACATTTGAAGTCATGTTATTCAGTGGAAGTATACTTACTGGCTGGAGGTAGGACAGTACGTAGAAGACAATCAAGTTATCCAAAAAGTAAAGAAAGGCAGGAATTGACCATTTCATGGAATTACATACATTCTTCCAGGAAAAACATTCAGAGAGATTATCCATACAACCTTTTTCTGAAAGGAAAAGAAATCAGTAAGAAAGACATCATTCCTATTATTGAAAGCCCATTCCCTTGTAACAGAATAGGCACCATAGTGGCAATAGTTTTCTTTTGAGGAACACCATTAGACTGAAAACACTTTGGTTCCACAGCTCTCTGGCAACACAGGAACCATTCTTTAAGGGTCAAAAAGCAACCCAGAATCCCTACACAGTAGTGACATCCTTATTGGGTGTGACTTCCTGTTGATTATTGATCAAATCTACAACAGGAACAATGACACAGACAGTGCATTCCTTCACAGAGCACTCAAAGGTCAGCCAGTAAGTCAGAAGTACTAAATAAACCAGAACTCAGCACATGATCTGGGTATAAAGAGAACATATAGGAAGAAAAGAAGAAAGAAAGGACAAAGCACAAAGAATGACATTTACTTTGGTATTCAGGACACAAACTTTAGGAGGAAGACTGATAAACTTTAAACTACTCTAGAGACGGTGCCAAAAGTACTTTCTTAGCACAGATTTAAAACTACCCAATGATATCTAATCCTCTCCTGAGCCACCAAAACACATTGAGTTCAGCAAAACACTGACATCTGGATAAAAAAAAAAAAAAAAAAAAGAAAACTAGAAAGCATGCAATCAGCAATAGCCAATGATGGCAAACACTGATTGAATATATTTACTGTCTCAGACAAGTCTGTTTCCTGGAGAAGTAGACAAAACCAACAGTTCAATTTAACATGTACCTCCAGTGCCTGATACCCTCTTCCAATTTAAATATTTGTTATGTACCATTTTGAAATGCTATGAAGTTAATCTCTCACAGTTTTTACATCAAGACAAAAAAAACCAAAAATCACCTGTGATGCAAAACCTGTGGCAAGTGGAGTGTGTCATCTAGTCTTTAAAAAAAAGTGTTTGTAGGACAGCAAATCTTAGAAAGTCAACACTCTTTAAAAAAAAGTGTTTGTAGGACAGCAAATCTTAGAAAGTCAACACATGTTAATTATTTAAAACATAGGTACTTACCTTTTTTCCTATTCCACAGTGCCAACACTACACATAGGACCAGTTTTACTACTTCAGAACACATGTTCACTGTCGTAGGAAGATAATCATACTTGTTATCTGTGGGATCCAGCAAATCACAGAGTACACAATTAGTTTCTGTCCCTGCATTTACAATTATAGCGGCAATCTATTTTAACCATTCCAATCACAATTTTAGTCACAAAAGGCTTTGTAAGAGCTTCTGTTATAAATGTTTCAAAGTTTATGATACACAACTTCCTGAATAGCCTCTTTTCCCAGTTGAAGTCTTTCCTCCTATGGTCTCAGTCTATAGCAGAACTTTTTTGGAAGAACTTAAGAACATGTCTGTTTTAAAAACAAATTAAAATGGGAAGGTTTTCCCCAAAGACCAATATGGTATTTTTTAACCCTCACCAAAAAATGGCTTCCACAATGACATAACCTTCTTCTAGGACTGGCAATACCAGCCAGTTTTAGCACACCCACTAGGATACCACTTCTCTACTAAACCCATTGCAAAACATTTCAATTAAATAATGTACTGCCAATAGTGCTTACACAACAATCTCCTCTTTGAAGAGCTAGCTATAAAATAAATCACATGCCTCATCTTTTAAAGGTATATCATACACCTTGCAACCAAAGTTATACCTTTATGGTAGACCACTAGCTAGACAGAAATTTTCCAGTGCAGAAACACATGTCCCTATAAATATAGTAAGGTACTCATGCAAAGAACTCTGCAGGTGGAGAAGCAGGTTTTTTGGCTATGTTTTAGTCCAAACATCAATGCTTTCTTATTCAAGGTACATCATGGGTATTGCCCAACAGTACCTTCATTGGCAGAATACTTCATCAGGAGGATTCGACTTGAGCCCAGCGTGATGAACACTCCTCCAAGCAGAAAGGTCTGGCCGGTTGTCTTGGAGCAAAGGGCAAATCGACTACACCACTCCAACTTCATTCTGCTGCCTCACCGTCAGTGCCCTTTGGATGGCAGGATTAAAAACCACTATAAACAGTACTTCCAGAAACAGGTTACACAAGGCAAAATTAGTGTATTTTATTGCTTTGTGTTATACAAAGATGCTTCCATCATAGAAAAAGCTATGATCTTGTTCTACAACTATTGCTTTCTTATTAAAAAAACAAAACATCGAGTTCAACTTATGACTAAACACTGCAACGTCAATTAGACCATGGCACCAAGTGCTGTGTCCAGTCTTTCCTTAAAACATCTCCAGGGATGGTGACTCCATCACCTTCAACTCCAATATATAATCATCCTTTCTGTGAAGAAATTCTTCCTACTGTCCAACCTAACCCGTGGCACATCGTAAGACTGTGTCCTCTTGTCCTGTTCCTGGTTGCCTGGGAGAAGAGGCTGACTCCCACCTGGCTACACCCTCCTTTCAGGGAGAGAGCAGTAAGGTCAACCCTGAGAGGCAAATACATTACAAGGACCATCAAAAGGGAATAAATGACGTATACACAGGGACTCTGAAGGTTGCACAAGGAAGCTGGTTCTTGAGAAGTCTGCAACTACGGCATACGGATTAGCTAAAGGGATTAAATATTTCACACGCTTGTTTTCCTTTAATATTTTTTAAGTGCTCTTGTTGCTAATCCCAGCAAGGAGAAGCGCTACAGCAGCGGAGGGAGACCAACCCCTCAGAGCAGACCCGGCGCCGGCTCGTTCCCAGAGGCGGAGGAGGCACAGGGCAGCTG